GCACCATTTTGGGAGTGCTGTACAGACAGCAGCATCCTCATGCTGCCCCAGAGTCACACAATTTGTCCATCTAAAGCGAGTTCTGCTGGAATGGTCATAATCCATTTGGTGCCAAGAACGCACTTCTCAAGTGATTGCTGCACATATGTGGATACAGAGAGCGCTTTATCTGATCACGTCGTATTGAGGCAGACCTACTGACATTGCAGGGCTGTTTAACTTGCCTGTGGATGAATTAGGCAAAATAGGAAATTGTACAATAACTTAGCTGCCTTGGTATCTCAATATATATCCTCTGTATATCAACACAGTTTGCAGCACCTCCCCTTCATACTACTACGATTTGTTTTTTCTTTAAAAAAAACTTTTGTAGAAGCACTACTTGAGGAAAGGGAAACAGAGAGCATTGTTGCACACTAGTTTGAAAATGCGCTCACTTGTGTGTACAGACAGCATGGGTAGTAGTTGCCACTACAGATGGTATTAGCAACTGTGTTTAGCAACTCAGAGTATTTAAAGATGTAGGCACTGCCTCCTAAATCATAGAATTGTAGAGTTGGAAAGAACCACAAGGTCATATCTTGGCAACCCAAGAAGGCGACATTTTGAGATTTGGACAGAATGTCCACATTTGCTCACAGGTGTCAGTCCTCACATTATATTCTGTCCCATTTTATGCTGTGAGTCACTAAGAATGAGCTTCAGCTTGTCCTCTCATGAGCAAGCATGCCAATCTCTGCCTGTACAAGAAGAATTAGGGAAATGCTCATGCCTAGAGACACTCCATGTCCAGTTAAACAACCCCCAACACCTGTTCATTGAGCAGAAGGGACCCAACTGATTTAAATCAAGTGGGATGGGGTAGAAATGGAACCATTGCACTGCAAAATGAAACAGTCCCCTGTTCTGGCTTGTAGAGTCGTACTGTGGTTTTCGAACAGCTTAGTTCTTGAGCGTTTTGGCTCCCGAACGCCGCAAATCTGGAAGTGACTGTTCCAGTGTGCGAACTATTTTTGGAAGCCGAACATTCCTGCAGCCAATCAGAAGCCGCAATTGGGTTTCCAAACATTTTGGAAGTTGAACAGGCTTCCGGAACGGATTCCGTTCAACTTCCAAGGTACGACTGTACTTGATTCCTAGAATGCAGGCATAGTATGTAGGATACAAGCATAGTATGTAGGAGCAAGCTGTAGGATTTTTCCTGTGATTCACATCATGGTGTCCAGTAAGCAGCCTTTGGGCAGATTACCTTGGTATCCACCCATCTCAGCCCTTTATTTAGAGAGGCTCATGCAGCTCTCTGCCGTGACCTACTCCAACCCTGAAAATGGGCTCTTCCTCAGGTCTTTACTTGCTCAGCTTCTACTGCAGAATTTGAGAAATGGCAGCAATGTCTGCCCTTGATCCAGAGCCCTTTGAAACCATAAACAGGGTCACTGCCTCCCTGCAGCTCTGTGCCCACTTGATAGCCATACAACACTTTGTGTTCAATTATTGTAAAAACAGCAACTGAGAAATTTATTACTAGTCGGAACAGATCTTTTGGAAAATCCATTATCAGCCCCCTTCTGCATTTCTGCTATTGCTTGTGCAAGACCCATATCTTAGCACAGTGTGTGGACCCTTATGGGAATCACTTGGTTTATCTCAATATAGAACTGAATAAGCAAGAGAGCAATGCCAGGAAAAAACAGCCTTTATGTCTTTGTTTAGACAAGTATTGGATGTCATAGCAATGCCCTTACATAGTCCACAGATGGAACCCAAGGGAAATCTCTAATTTGTTTCCCCAAAGACACAGAGTGCCCATCTCAGGCCACCTTCGATTGCTCCCATTGCCAAACACATTCTTTCCACTTGCGCTCAACTTTTGTCAGATGAAAATATCAACATCTGGAAAGTCACAGGTTCCCTATTTGGTGGGGGGCAGGCTGAGGAGAGTTTCCTGAGAACCCTAAGCAGCGCTGAGAAGGGTATACAGCGCAGGATCCGCAACGGGAAGTAGCGCCTTGTAGCATGCTTGCCACCAATGAAGTCCAGTCGCGAACAACTCGGGGGTTGCAGCGCTCATCTTGCTTTACTGGCCAAGGGAGCCAAAGTTTGTCTGCAGACAGTTTTTCTGGGTCATGTGGCCAGCATGACTAAACTGCTACCTGCGCACGGAAACACTCTTTACCTTCCTACTTGCACTTTGACATGCTTTCAAACTGCTAGGTTGGCAGAAGCTGGGACCGAGCAATGGGAGCTCACCCCGTCACGGGGATTCAAACCGCCAGCCTTCCAATTGGCGAGCCCTAGGCTCAGTGGTTTAGACCACAGCGCCACCCGCGGCCCAGTCTTGTAATAAGTACCCAGCTATTTCTGTCTGATGCCTTATATCTGATGGTGCAGAGAGTAAATGGGAACCATATTGTTGTAGGCCACCCCAATCTCTGAGCAGTGTGAGATTCCAGGGGTTTCAGGCGCCTACCCAGGGTTAGTGTTTCCTTTTGGAATGAGGCACAGCAGAGACTATAGTGTCTTTAGGATATCTGGTTTATTAATGCATATATACAAACTCAGCCTGCGATAGAGGGGTTAACAGCATTAATACCCCAAAGTGTATTGTTTCTCCCATAGTCACAGCCGTGGATTCAGACAGATGTCAAACATTGCTCTCTGACCCTCTCTTCAGCTTGCTGCTTTCCTTCTAGGTCACATTAATCCTACCTATGCTCCAAACTCTGGCTTTTTTCCCCTGTTGAGACTCATTTGCCATCTCACATTGAGCCCCTTAATGGTTTATCACCCAGGCTATCACTTCACCAGAAAGCTAGCTTGGCTATTCCACCAATTAGAAGCCTTGATTAAATTCTAACACTTGCTGGATCCAGGGATCTGGGGGTCTGGCACACATCTTAACACCCCAAACTCATAACAATATGCATTCACTGTTATTACAATATGTATATTTTTGCTTCGTTTCATTGATGGAAGAGAACTTTGCTGTTGTGCCAGAGTCTTCACAATAAATATACATTTTGAGATACGACTTTATGGAAGACCTGAAAGAAGTCCACCATATGGCAGTCAGAGAAGGAGAGGTGCCAGACATAACGGGCATTAAGAGAGAAAAGGAGCCATTTAAGGAAGCAGGAGATGGCTGATATTATTACCAATTACAATAAAACAAATAGTTGAAAATAAGCCAGCTACCATGAAACACAGTTTAAAACACAACCAAGCCTAGAAAACTTCGATAAAATCTGGCAATGGTACATATAATAAAGCATTTCAGTTAAAAGTGAGAGAAAACACAAACTACTTTGAAGTTCTCTTTAAAACCAGAAGTAATGGGAGTCAGCTGTATTACCCCTCTTGGGAGGAGATTCCATAGGATTCCACCACCAACATGACTTGCCTGGAAAGGAGACAGAGGAATCAAAGATAAAGGCAAGGCTGTCTGTCCCTGATCAAGAGGAAGGATGGCTGTGTCAGTGGAGATGGAGTATGTACTAGGAGAGAAAGGCTTGTGGGGGGAAAGATAAGAAGTCTAGCCTTGACTATGCTGAGACTGAGACAGCAATAAAACATCGAACTATCAGACAAGCAGCTGTAGATATAGGACTGGATGGAGACACAAAGTTCTGAGGTGAAGCTGGATATCATTATTGTATAGATGGTACTGAAATCCCATAAAATTTGATGCGCTATTTTTACATTTATACCTCCTCCTTTCCTCTGAGGAACTCAAGATGGAGGGCCTGGTTCTCCTATTGTGTCCTCACAACAACCCTGTGAGGCAGGTTACACTGAGGTTGCTTCCAGACCATTGCTATTTCCAGGTGGGATTCAACCACATGCCAGCAAATCAAGGCTGCCCAATTAAAATTGATTTGGAGCCGCTTCCCAAAAGATTTGACTTCTTGCGATAAGGAAAGTGTGGGTCAACACTTGCATGAAGCAACATCTTCTTACCTCAAGGTCACCTAGTGAGTTCTGTGGGTGTTTGAATTTGGTCCTAGCCTGAACCTCTAGCCACTAGGCCACACTGCTTCTTGATGAGGTCACCCAGAGACATGTAAGGCAGTAATGGGGGGGGTGTACTGTTGTCCTCCACATCTTGCTGGAGCCCCTCTTCCATCAGTTGTAGCCAGCATGGCCGGTAGTCAGGGATGATGGGAGTTTTAGTCCAACAACACCTGGAAAGTCACAGGTTCCCTATTTGGTGGGGGGGGCAGGCTGAGGAGAGTTCCCTGAGAACCCTAAGCAGCGCTGAGAAGGGTATACAGCGCAGGATCCGCCACGGGAAGTAGCGCCCTGTTTGTAGCATGCTTGCCACCAGTGAAGCCACAGCACCAGTGCTATCATTAGGCCAACTAGGCAGCCGTCTGGGGCGCAGACCTGTTTTTGTTATACAGTGGTACCTTGGGTTACATACGTTTCAGGTTACAGACTCCGCTAACCCAGAAATAGTGCTTCAGGTTAAGAACTTTGCTTCAGGAGAGAACAAAAATCGTGCTCTGGCGGCGCTGCAGCAGCGGGAGGCCCCATTAGCTAAAGTGGTGCTTCAGGTTAAGAACAGTTTCAGGTTAAGAACAGACCTCCAGAACAAATTAAGTTCTTAACCCGAGGTACCACTGTATCTTATAAATTTTTGATAATATTTTACTTTTATTTTATATTTTGAACAATCTTACCGTTCCTACAATACACCTGTTTTTTGGAAATTTGAACTTAGCAAATTTTGGAGGGCAGTGTAATTAGCTAGGGCCTTGCCTGGGGTGCAAAATAGCCTGGCACTAGGGAGCTGCTCCGCCAAAGAAAGCACCGAACCTAGAGGACAGGAAAGCCCTTCCTTGCCAGCCCTGCGTTTCCAGGGCGGGGCGTGCCCAGGTGCACAACCTGCCGCCCCCTCCCTCTGCGCCCAATCGCTGCAAGGCAATCCTGCCTTCGCCCCGCCCCCTCCCCATTTCAAAGGACGTGGTTGGTTGAGCGGGCGCAGCCACCGCCCAAGATCTTCGCAGAAGTTTAGTTCCGGCTGAGTTTGCGCCTCTCCGCCCCCTGCGCCAGGTGAGGCGACAGCAAGTTCCAAGGCAGCCTCGCCAGGCGCCTCGACTCAGTCCCGGAGGAGGAGGAAGAGGAGGAGGAGCTCCTGGCCCCGCCCCGTCCCGGGCGGAGTCGCCGCGGCTGCTGACATGTTTCCCCGGGACGGAGTCACGCGCGCTTTTCCTCGGGGCTGCTTTCGTGGAGCCCCTTCGGGACAGGATAGCCCAGCAGTCTGCGCGGTTCCCGCCCGCTGCGTCTGATTCCGGGGAACCGCCTTGCTCGCCGGCGACTTGCCTGCAAGGGGGTCTCTGGAGCGGGGAAGGTAGGGTTGTCAGCGCGGGCCCGGAGGCGCCCCTTCGCCTTCCGTGGGGGGCGGGGCGGGCGATCTCCGCAGGATCTTGACACTTCGCAGTGAACGGGGCTTCCTCCCCCTCGCTTGCTCCCGCTTCCATTTCTTGCAGCGAACAGTGGACCTGCCTGAATTTCCTCTTTCCACCCCAAGTTTGGGCGAAAAATGGTTTAGTTTAGTTTAGTTGCACCTGGCTATTAGGAAGGGAGGCTTGGATCAGGCCCGGGTAGCCCATGACGATTCCTTAAGAGAGCTTCCTTTCTTTTGCGTCGCCCCGCTACTAAAGTAATCCAGTTTTCCGTCCAAAGCAACAGCAGCCCTTGTTTTACACGCTGCGTTTTGCTCAGCTTGCAGTCCGCCCCATCTGCAACAAAACATGTCTCTACTGTATGGGATTTTACAGCCACAACAGGCGCTGTAACTCTCCAGTGGTTTGACTACCCCCAAAGGCACACTCCTCCATTGTCTCTGGAGACAAATGGATGCCAAAAAAGTTGGTTCAGTGCTTTTGGATGGTCATCTTGTCCCTTTTATATATATCTTTAATTTATGCAGTACAAAATAGGGAAGAAAATTCTACCATTTCATACCTGCAGAGAATTAAATACAAACACAGTTGTTCCAGTTGCCCAATAGCACAACGATGCCTGTGGGTTTGTGAGCAGTAGGGGAGATGCACGCTATTGGAAATTAAGCCTCCAAGCTCATCTATTGTCAGGGGGAGACAAGGAGTGTTTGTCAAAGGCAAAGAAACCAGGACATGTATTTCTCTGGTGTGGGGAATGGTTCCAGTGTCTCCTGTGCAGTGATAACCCTCAGCTTTTACAAAGGAGCTTGCAAGCCTATGTTGTGTTCCTCAGCTGCCTCCTTCCCCCACTCTCCAAGAAAGGTCACCTCCAGACTGTCAGAATTTTGCAGGACGGATTCACATGCATACTGAAAATGCATCATAGGACTGAGCTGAGCAAAATGGACTCTCCTCCCTCTGTTAACTCTAAATTTGTTCTGGTGTTCCCTCTAGTCCTCTAGAGCACGTCTGGAGACAGGGTGGGGAATCCCATTGTGCTGGTGTTAATCTTTGTGCCAGCGCAACTATTTAGTTGAATACCAGCTGGGTTGACATTTGGACCAGGAAGCTAAGGAGGGGCCTTGTACCAGGGGCCTAGGTGAAGCATTAATGCATATATTTATTTGCAGATGAAGTGTGTGCTGATTACTAGTGAGGTGGCAGAGGTCCTGTTCTACTGGGCTGACCCAGAATTCATGGCGATTCTGCACCAGCGCTTTGGGGGCCATGATCAAGGTGGTGGTGAGGTGAGATTTAAAGGAAGAGGGAAATGGACCAGAGTAAATGGATGCAGGGCCAAAATATCATTGCTGGCCTTGTGTTCAGTGCTTGAGAAAGATGTTCTGCAAAGTTCCTGGAGTGATGGGGGAAAGTGTACTGGAGGTGGAAGTGTGTATGCTTATAAAAGCTTTGGGGCTTGTCTGAACAGGATCAGGTTATTTTTTCCTGTTCTGGTTTTGCTTTCATATTTACTTTTTTTATTTAAAAAATGAATGCTATGTTTTAATTGTTTTCAACAGTACACTGCCCAGAAAACCCAAGTTCTTAGATGGCTAATGGATATGATATGTAGATATGTATCTGGGAGGGAACTGGGTTATGGCCTGTCCATGGGTGTCCATGCATATGCGCATGGGATGTGGTGGGACTTGGCAGGGCACAGTGACTGCTGCTTTTCCCTCTTTTTCTTTCCACAGGCCCCCGCTCTGGAAGACAGCATCAACACATTGTTTGCCCCCATGATCATCTCCTGCACAACACTGCTAGAGAAACTAGGAGACACATACACTTGCTTCTCCTCTGAAAATGACGAACACCTCTATGTGTTACATATGGTAACTGAATGGGCCATGTGCTTAGAAATGTATAGATGTTGATGGGAATGTAGTTGACAGACTAAGTCACCTTGAGACATTCATTAGCGGTGGAGGGTGGAGGCTACCCAATGCAGCTACATGAGGCCTCCCATATTATTTAAATTGGGGTGGGTGGATATTATCCAAACACCTTTTCTTTGTTCCTGCAGTGGCAGGGAGGTCGTCTTCTTTGGCGATCACTCGTAACTGAGTAAGATTGTCTTCCATGAACACGGTCTTAACAGGGAGTCCGTAAGTGACTGTGGAGGCCAGTTCTGGATCCACACATCCTTCCACAGTGGGGACATAGGTTTCCAGACGGGAGTTGATATGTTGAGGGTTTGCCAAACGTGCCTTCCTCTTAGCAAGTTTCTCCCTTTTTTCCTGAGTTTGAGTGTCTTCAAAGTCCATGACACCTTTGGTAAAAGCTGTTCTCCATTTGGAGCGCTTGCAGGCCAGTGTTTCCCAGTTGTTACTGTTTATACTACATTTTTTTTTAGATTTGGCTTCAGAGAGTTGTGAAACCTTTTTTTGTTGACAACCAGCATTATGCTTTCCATTTTTCAGCTTGGAATAGAGTAGTTGCTTTGGAAGACAATAATCAGGCGTTGCATCTGAACTACATGACATTGCACAGATCTGTTTTATTTAAATAAACACCAAAATGCATCAATATTTTTGGAGCAAAGGGGACTTTAGATATTTCCATGATCATTTTACATCTGTCTTCATCTTCCTTATAATGACTGAGACAACAATCCTCTTGCTGCTTCTACAGTTTGGTGAGTGCCTGTACATTGCTGTGAATGGCGATGGCTCCGAGAGTGAGGATGACTTGCGCCGTAAGCTGTACGTGCTCAGGAGACTGGCTGAAGCTCACTTTGGACTGGTCACACTCGACAGCCACCTCTTCCGCAGAGAGTGAGTTACCGTGCCAGAGCAGGGATTTCCTTCCTTCCTTCCTTCCTTCCTTCCTTCCTTCCTTCCTTCCTTCCTTTATTGTGATGAGCTTGTTTTCCTCCATCCCTGGATGGGATGTTTCGTTCACAGCATATGGGTCCTGCTTTCCATGTGGTCTTCTCAGGCCCCTGTAACACTAAAGTCCCAGTGTGCTGAGCCACAGAAAGCAGCTTCTCCTTGGTGCTGTTCCACACAGCTGGCACATGTGAGACGAGTTTGTATGGATCTGTCATACTTCCTGGGCACATAACCTCCTGGTGCATGAAGGAAAGGGAAACCTTAATGCAACAACCTTGCCCTTGGGAGAGCAGTATTCTTGGGACACTGAGCAGTAGCTGCATGGGATGTCACCATAGTGCAAATTATGGTTTATATGCGCATGAAAAGAGCCTGAGGCAGCAGAGCCTGCCTTCCCTATAATTTGCAGAAAAGTAACAGCAAAGTAGGATCTGTTTGGGGGTTTGAGTGCAGCTCTCAACAATGCCTATGTCTGGGGATGGTTACACAGGTGAGATAAGACCAAGGAAAGATGAATTGTATGGCCTCTCTGCTCCACAGACTTTGCCCTAGGTGCAATCTGAAGATTATGAATGTAGCCCGAAAAAGTTCTCTTTGATTTGACTATGTAGAAATAAATTCTCCGCATAAGTTTTAAAGCCTTACTTGCAGAAACCTGGTTTAAACTTTACAAAAGCAATAAAAGATACATTGTCTCAGTTATACATTTCTATTCTTACATACACTGGACGCAGTATAAGGCTCAATCTTTGCCAAAACACAGTCATTTCAGCTAAAAAATAAAGAGTCCTCTCTTTTCCAGCTTACTGCATTTTGATTAATGCTCAGGGAGATCTGTGTGTACTTGAAAAACTACTCTGAGTGGTGTGGGCTACTTCATTAACATAAGTAAACACTTTGGAACTCTGTCCCAAAAAAACACAAAACTTAACTCACCCCGTTTTTGCAGTGGAAAAATACAAACCTTCAGCTGTGTGTTCATTCTTCACAGTAACTTGAATACAATACGACAATTATGCACCATTTTATGTAACATTAAATAATTTTAACACAATCTGTAAGTTTGAGGATTTCTGTCTCTGCCCTGGAGGTAACCGTTGGCCTCCACTGATTTTGTGGGTTCTTGCTTTGTAGGCTGCGCCCAGGGGATTCTGAGCAGAGGGCTCACATTTGGGGACTGTTCCAGAGCCTCCTTCAGACCCATCACCAGCTCCGCCAGGATGACCAAAGCTTTGCTGTGGAGGTAAAGTGGACTGGGGCAGTCGATAAGTGGTGGTTGGAATGAAGCCAGGGATGCAGTTGTTCTACTGGGTAGCCTAGGATGGTTGGAGCAAGCCAGGATACGTTTGTGTTGCCCCCTAGAACAGGGATGAGGCACCTTTTCCAACACACATACCTTGAGCCAGAAGCAAAAGAACGTCGAGCAAAAACCAGAGGCTACAACACACACCCTCAACACCTCTGCATCCAGGGAAGCAAGATGCATTATCAATATTAAATTGAATTTTTGATCTATATCCCACCCTTCCTCCCTAAGAAGCCCAGGGTGAGGAGGGGTGTGTTTTGAAAGAGTCCTGGAGGCCAGATTAAGGGCCTCCCAGGCCTGGGTTCCCTACCCCTGAAGTGGGTAGCATTGTGGATAGTTTGTCTAGTCAGGCCTAGAAGGGAATGCATGTCCTGAATCTGCGTAGACTGATGGAGCTGGGGAAGTGGGCTTTTCATGCTGTGTGCCTCACGATAATTGTTGCCTGGGCTCTGCACAAGGGACCATACATCCCAGGGCTGGGAGGGAAGACCTTGCACTGCAAACCTGTTCCTCTGCGCCCACCCTCTTTAGGCCGTGGAGCGACTGATCCACCCTCAGCTGTGTGAGCAGTGCATTGAATTCCTGGAGCGCCAGGTCGTGCAGCACATCAATGGCAGCCCAGAGCGTGCTGGGCACGAAGTTGTGCATGCCTTCCTGCTTGTGCACACCAAGCTCCTTGCCTTTTACTCCAGGTAAACCCCCAGTTCCTCTCTGCAGTCTCCTCATCCTCCCCTGACGCACATCTTGCTCATGCCAGCCCAGCATCTTCCACTGTGCCCGTTGCCTCCTTTGGCACCCCACACCTCTGCTTCAGTGCCAGCCAGACCACCCTGGGCCTCTGGTTGTCCTCCTCCCTCTGTCTCTAGAAGGATACCTCCCACCTTCCGATATGTGGCTCCCCTAACAGATGGCCGTGTCTTCACCTCTTCTCTTTTACCTGCCTCCTAGCCGGAATGCCAGCTCTCTGCGGCCTGCTGACTTGCTCACGCTCCTCTTGATTGTGCAAGATCTGTATCCCAGCAGCGCTTCTGAGGAGCTGCCAGCCTCCCAGGTACCTGCCCAGGGGGGGAAGGAAACACATTCATACAAGGGGCTCTGTGTTTGTGGAGATTCCTCTTTGGGATCTTCTCAGACAATGACCTTCAGCTGGACTGAGCTGTGTGGAGTTGGGCATAAGTGAGATTCTGGGAGCTTGGTGATATTTTACTGTCACAGAGCTGTCTTCCAAGTGAATTGCACTTGCCTCTGCAGTACAGGCCTTCATGCAGACTTTAAAAGATGTGGCTACAGGCTTTGGTAAAAGGTTTAAATTGTGTTTTATGCATTTTGAGGGGTGTATTGACCTATACTTTATCAGGCTACTGTAGCTAGATTTCGCATTTGGATGGTTTTTTAAAATGTATATTTGGTGTGTAAGCCACCCTGGGAGGGCTATGACCTAAGTGGCACATCTCTCCCCACATATTTAAATAAAATATTTAAATAAAAATGAATTAAATCTAAACAGGAGCTGGGATGGGTACCCTGGATTAATAAATTAATAATAATAATAATAGTAATAGTAATAATAATAGCAATAATTGTATTTATACCCCTCCCATCTGTCTGGGTTGCCCCAGCTACTCTGGGCGGCTTCCAACACAAAAACATAATAAAACATCAAATGTTAATTAATCTGTTCCAATATAAAAGTCACAATAACTTTAGAATAAATCATATCAAACAAAGCAACATTCATTAAGAGCTGTTGCTCTGTGTGAAGTCTGTCTAGATGCCTGAATAGCTAAATGTCACAGAGAATCATTGTGGATTAATCACTAGAGACCACAGAGACCCAGGTCCAAATACCCACTGAATGAATTTGGTCCAGTTTCTTATATGCCACTTTGAGCTCCTTGGAGGAAGGCCTCAATAGGCCTCTTAACCACCACTTTAATTTCCCATAATGTCCTGGGCTGACACTTGAGGCCAGAGCATTGTGGGAAATTAAAACAATGGATTGGCACAGGTTCCTTGTTCATTTGTAGGAGGTCCTCAAACACTTCTTTAAAGAAACAATTCAGATCTGTGTTTGGAAAATTTCATGGAGCTCAGGGTTTGCAAATGGTTTGCTGCCATTTTATTTTAATGTTAGTATTTTTCATGATAACGTTTTGTGCTGCTTTATTAGAAACTTGCTATTTCATAGTATAAGGAATGAGACTGTAAGGTGCCTTGTGAGGATAAAGACACTATCAAAGGCAAGATTTTTATTAATAAATGGGCAGGAAGGAGCATGGCCTACATTGGTGGGTGAGTCCTGGCAGCTGTCCAAAGATGGCTGAGCCTGTCTCTTTCAGTTCTCAGAGGATGAGTCAAGTCTCCAGAGGCTCCATAGCAGTGAAAACATCCCAATGAACAGCCCTTGTCCCCATGCATCTTCCCAAGAACAGGTGAGCATCAGCTGGGCTTTGGGCCTCCCATCCCAAAGGCCCAACCCTGGGTCCTTGGAATTTGTAGTTGATCAGGAGTTGGGTTGTAGGCTTAGCTTTAAAACCTGAGGGAAGCAGGGGAGACTAGGATGTTGCTGTGGCAAATGATATGCGATTCATTATTTGCTAGGAATGGTGAAACCCCCATCATTGTCCTACTGGGATCCCATGGTGGAACCTATTTTGGCAGATGGGGAGGGAGCCAGCCTGGGCTCGTGCTGAGTCTGTTCCCTCCCACACCCTCCCTTACGCCCTCCCTCAGGTAGCAGATGATCTCTCTATGCCCGAGGAGTTCTACACCCCCAAGGCTTCCCCTAGCCAACAGAGCACAGGTGAGTTTGGGGTCAGTGCGGAGGAGTCTGAGAAGCGACTGTGGTCTCCTGTAGATGTGGGGTGAGCTGTCAGAATGCAAAGAAAGAAAGAAAGGGTGACTTGCACGTCAGCTGGCTTGACTGAGTGGTGACTGCGTGGAAATCTGATTTCCTCCTCCCTGTTTTGGAAAGGGGCATTGCCCCACTGCTTGGCTGGCACTCAGAAGGCGTGCAAGTGTGGCTCTAAAAGCAATTTCCTAAAGCGCCTGCCAAGGGATGGGGTTAAGCGCAGGTGCTGCCCCATCTAGGAGGTACCTGGCTCAAAATGATGTTCCAAGTCTTTTGTTAGTTGCTGTTGGCCAGCCACCTTAACTGTTCCCACCTGTGGTGCTGGGGGTATCTGGTGTCTCTTCTCTCTCTTGCCTGAAGGAAGCACAGCCTGGGCTGATGGTGTGGACTTTCAGGGTGAGGGGGAGACGAATTCTGCTGACATCCAGGTATGTGCTTGGTCTTGGGATTGCAGCTCTGCATTTTTCTGCTGGGCCTCCCTTTCTGCTCTCTCCATTTCCACTTTACATTCTCTTCTGGGTGTGTCTGTTTTTTTTGTTTTGTTTTTGGCCACCTGTACTTGTCTTGTAGCCAAATCATATGATCAGTTTTTTTCACCACCCTCATAGCTTTTTGTGAGCATCAGCCTTGCAGCTTGTGGTTATGCCCCCACAAATGGGGAAATGAACGGAAGCAGCTTTCTCAAAATTGTGCAAAGCACCACATGCGATGAGAAACGGCAACAAAGAAACTCCGATAATGAAAGCTGGACAAAGAGGATCCATTCCACAAGGATTTTAGGGCAGCAGGCATTAGGGATCCCTTATGATCACATTTCCCAGTTTGCTTGATAGAGGTGTTGCTTGCTTTCTATACACTTAAATGTTTCTATACTTTACTTCCCAGTACTGTGAAATCTGGGACAACCTTCCCCACCGCCTGAACATACCATAACATACCATAAATGCAACCTTCGTAGTGTCATTAAAATTGCATATAAAGCTCACCGAAGCACATTGTAGTAAAGTTAACATTCCCTATGCTGGCAGACCATGGTGTCTGTGGGTGGATGACCTTGGGGCTTAAATGAGGGGAGAAGAATGGGCAAGAGAGCCTTTAGAGATCTCTGAGCCTTGCAGGGAAAGGGTTGGAACAACATCCCCTCAGTTGCCCTCTTCCCCACCCCCAAAAAAATGCAGATGGGAAAAACTGGCAAGGGAACAGGTCTGTGCATTCGTACTGCCCCACAATTACCAGCAGCATGCAGATGGGAGCAGTTAGCCAACCGGGATTGGGAGCTAGGCATGTCCTGTTTTTCATGCCTGTAGTCCCTAATCCCACTCCCTGCCTCAGCCAGGATCCCATCAGCAGTGAAGGGGACTCTCCCCTTCCAGCTGAAGGGATCCTGGTGGTGGTTGAGGGCAAGGAGGAATGGAATTGGGCTCTGAGGCTGCATGTTCTTTGAGCCCAGGACCGTAAGCCTGTGACCCTTCAGGTGTTGGGATACAGACAAATGGCTGGGCTGATGGGGAGTGGAAGTCCAAGGACATCTGGAAGGCCACAGGTTTCCTCACCTCTGCTTTAAACTAGGTGGGGTGCTGTCAGGCCTTGGCTTAAAGGATGGTGGGGGGTGGACTAACTTGACTCTGGAGGCCTCCTTTCTTCTGAGCTCCGTTTCCCTCCGCACTTCCTTCGCCTGTGGAATTGAGTCGCTCTGCTTGTTTCCTAGAATTGGCGCTAGATGGAGCTATTGCTTCACTTTTCTGTTAAGGGAGCAGCCGTTTAGTTCCTAAAATTGTGGAGAAACAGGAGTCCTTGAGACACTTCACCCAAGAATGCTCTATATCCGGTCAGACAGATCCTAGTTCTGTGACAACGGCATGCTAATCTTTTCCCCAGATGGCTGAGGATTCGCTGCAGTTTCTGGCGCCTCCAGCGCCAGAGGCTACCAATCCACGGAGAATTTTCCTGGACGCCAACTTGAAGGAAGGCTACTGCCCCATGATGCCCCACATGATGTACTGCCTGCCTCTCTGGCCAGGAATCTCGCTGGTGCTCCTCACTAAGGTGAGCCAGCTCTCCTGAGCAGCGTTTATGACCCCAGCCTGTCCTGGATCTCACTGAATGTCCCCTCTGCCTCGCAGAGCCCCAGTTCCCACGTGGCACATTCCATCTACCAGCTGCTGGATGGATTTCTGGTGCTGGAGAAGAAGCTGAAAGACGGGCAGGAGATCAGGCCTCACCTGCGCTCTCAGCCTGTCCTCGTGGAACTCCGCCATCGGATGGACAACTTTGTCAGGAGGTTGGGTGGGCAAGAGCCACAGGTGAGATTTACACAGGAGCTGCCCAGGCACAAGGATCCTGGAGTGAGCATCCTTTCCCAGAACACACTGCTAAGAGGGGCTGGGTGATGTAGTGTCTAGTGGGGCAGAGCTGGGCAGGCATGAACAGGCCTGAGCTATGGGTGAGTTCCCATTTACAGGAGTAGGAAGGGCAATAGAACCGCTGGGTAAGAGCAGACCCTGCAAAGAGATGAAACAATGCTGCACCTGGGAGCACCTCTCTCTCTCTCTCTCTCTCTCTCAGTTGCAGAATACCTGGCTGGAATTCAAGAACAAAGCTTTCTCTCGGAATGAGACTGGGAGTTCCTGCGAGTGAGTTACTGGTCAGGCTGGGCTGACATGAGGGAGATTAGAATACGGGGTTGGGATAGGATTTTGGGGGTAGCATCCTGGGGGCCAGTTACTATACCTTGGCCTCATCTGAGGATAAAATGGAAAGGTGGCAATGGTGCAGACATGCATGGTCCCTTCAAGGATGCAAATGTAGTGATGAAAAGGAAGAATGGAGGTCTATGAAGCTTAAGGGCTCTTTGGACTGTGAGTGTTGTAGTCCTGGGACAAGGAAGCACCTGGCTGGACATGCTGTGAGGAAAGGAGAACGTTCCTGGTCTTGCTGGATCTGAGCAATGAACAGACTCCTTTGCTGTCATATTTTGATTTGTGGGGTGTGTGCGCGCATGCATGCATGCTGCAGCAATTCTCTTTCAACAGCTGTGAGACATGGTTGCAGACAAATCTGGAAGAGCTAAAACTATGAGGTAAAAATGGGAACCAATTTACAGAACTAGCCCGTTGTATAGCTCTCCTGGGACTGTTCCACTTACGAATGCATGTTTGAAGCTCCCCTGTGTGTGCACAATCAAGCAAAGCTTCCTCTGCACATAGTGAAGAGCACATGAGGGAGAAGGCTTGGGTTCAAACCCTCCTCCTCCTTCCAGACATGCAATAGACTACCGTGTGCTGAGTTCAAACTTCAGCAGGGGCCAAAGGAGGCCTGGCTGGTAGCTGAAGGGGGAAGATTTGGCGTGCATTTGGAAAAGGGGCTGGAGGGACAGGGGAAGAGAAAAAGATTCCGATTGAATAGAGTGGGGGAGAAATGGCCGAAAGGAACAGTCTGGTCTTTTCACCTATTGATTTGTGCTTGGGACACTAATGGAGTTACCAGCTGAATGGATTGAACAGTTCTTGCAGCTTGGGGAAAGTGTTAACAATACCAAGTTAACCTCTATAGGCTAACGAAGATGGTGTGTTGATGGAGACCACGTACAAATGAAACACAGTTTGAACTCGGGGGCCATTCCTACTGCTTTCTGCTTAAAAGAAGCCATTTTCTCTGCATGACTGTTGCAGATATTCCCTTTAGACAGGTGTTTTGTGGCAGGTGTGTCCTGCAACATGTTCTTGACAGCAGTCCTAGTGCACTAGTGGTGAGTTTGTTCTGCAGTGCTTCCCTAATGCTATCACGTTAATGCTGTCCAGAACAGCTGTAGCACAACAAAAGGGAGGGGGGTAACCAAACTCCAGAACATCTGTGTTTCAAAATGTTGCAGGATTTCAGCAGGAATCTGTGGAATCTGCGCTCATTGGAAATGAAGCCATGTGACACACACACACCAATAGCATAATGTACACAAATAATCATGAACGCACAAAAAAAGGGACATCGGGGAGGGATCCTGAATGCCCTTCATAGGTGACAAATTTCAGATAATGCTTCTGGCTTGCCTGGATGGGGGACAGAGGTGGGTGTGAAAACTGGCATTTCTGTACAGAGGTAAATTTTGCATTTGTTGCTGTGGCCTCTTTTGCCTCTGGCCCCACCATCGCTCCTGCCATGGGGCCCCTGGGAAGGGAATGTGGCCCTCAATCTGAAACAAGTCCCCCTGCTGCTTCAGAGGCACACTGATCTCTCTTTGGCGCAGGCTTCTGCAGGCCTTCTGCCGCATCCGGAGGCAGCTGTGCGCTGTGTATCGGCAGCTCTTTCTCGGATCCTCTGGGGCGCAGGGCCTGCCGCAGAACTTGCTGGACCAGGTGCAGCAGCTGACGCGGTGAGTGGGATGGAGCGCAGTGGCAAAACCACACGGGAAAGGGTGGCGGTGGCATATCTGAACTTGTACACGTTTGAGAGTTTGCACCTCATGCTGGATATCCCGTAAGGCAGTATTGGTCAGTTGTTGTTGGACTACAGCTCCCATCATCCATGGCCAGCTTAGCCGTGGATGATGGAAGTTGTAGTCCAACAACATTTGGGGACCCGACATTGAGGAACGTTACTGGAAGGTCACCTTGAGCACAGTTCTCTTCCACTCTTATATCCATTCAGCGCTCTCCAGGAGAAGCTGGTACACCCCAGTCATGCTCCACTCCTTGTGGCGGCTGCTGAAAGACTTCTTGGGCCCTCCACCTGAATGCCCATCTCTTTCTACCCCGTGCACTTTTGGGTCTAGTGCCTGCTTCTCCCCATGATAGTGGCCAACTGAGGAAGGAACATTGGGGAGTTGAAAGGCTTGCTGTCTTTCCCCCCCCCCAAGGTGGGGCTGGAAACTCTGGCTCTGAAGCCAAGCACCACTTGCTGCGAGGGCAGGAAGGCAACATGTGCACCAAGCTCTCAGCCCTTGTAGCTTATTCCCGGTTCCTTTTTGTTGGCAGGGACAAGCTGCAAGACTGGAGAGATTTCCTGTTGGTGAAGAGCAAGCGCAATGTTACCATAGTGTCATATCCTTCCATGCTTTCTCCTGGTCCCATTCACTTCTTTTCTTCCGGAGGACTTTTGAGCATCCCCAACCAAAACCAGGAGGAGGAGAGCTTCCTAGAGAAGTGATTGTGAAGTATTCCCCCCTCTCTGGCTGAAGATACCCTGATCTAGTGGGAGAGTACTGCTCCCACTTTGCATAGCAACCTTTGGGACAAGAAACTCAGCTCCCACCCTCACCTGGGTCATTTCCTGTATCCCAGCTGGTAGAATCTGAGACTCTTAGTCTCAGGGTCATAGGTGCGAGCCACACCGTGGGCAAAATATTATTTTATTGCAGGGGGTTGGACTAGTTGACCCTCACGGTCCCTTCCAATTCTGTTTCTGTGTCTTGGGCACAGAGCTGGAACAGGTGAATGTTGAGGTTAGTTCTTTCCTGGGTTCTACAGGTGTTGGGAACAGGCTGGCAAAAGTTCTCAGGTTGTACCAGGAAAGTACACACTCCTTGGACAAACATTAAGGTCTAGAGGTGGGGGGTGGAATGTTGAAGGATTTCCATCCCTCACTTGGGTCAAGAACCCCATCCCTGTTCCTTGAGAGGTTTTTGTGGGGAGGATCCTAGTGGGGCAGGCACCCAAGTTGAGAGGGGCAGCTGCCTTCTCCCCAGCCACAGGCCCTTAACTGGCTGCCATCCACATATCTGGAGGAATTCCCAGGGCTTGTGCACTTCATCTACGTGGACCGCACAGTGGGGCAGATGGTGGCTCCATCCCTTGGTGCTGCAGAGGACTCTGCTTCAGAGCTAGGCAAGGGGCCTTTGCCTGCCTTCATCAAGCAGAAGGTAAATCTCCCCAGCCTATGCAAGAGCCCCAGCTCCTGCTCCTTTCTTGCCTGCAAAGTTTTCGCTGCAGCAAGAGACAGGCGGTCTCCTGGTAACATGAGCACGTGATGGAAGTTGGAGAGACCAAGAATTTTAAAATGGTGATTCGGGGCTCAGAAAGGGAGGTCTTGGGGTGCCGGGTTTCTCTTTGTCTTCCCTGTCTCTTCCTCCCCAGGTGTGGTCCTTGGTGGCGCTAGCGAGAAGCTACTTGCAGAAGGGCTATACCACGGTGACAGTCCGGGACGGAGACTACTATTGCACCTACTTTCTTTGGTTTGAGAATGAGATGGTAGGTGCAGGAGCTTTGGGGGAGAGGGTGGGTGGGCTTGGGATGCAGAGATCTCCTGCAACTTCCTAAGACGTCGAGGTGATGCCCTGTCCTGAGCGCTTACTCTGGATGTAAGAATCCCAGCACCAAATGATCATTCAGCTGCAGTCAGTCATCCTAACTTGTTCAGAGCTGATTTGAGGCTACAAATGATGCATTCAGGAAGAAGGATAGGGTATTGACATGGTGCATAAACAGTGTCCTCTGCTATGGTGTGGATAGTATGGGCTGAAGCCTAAGAATGCCTGCAGTGGTCCCTAAGCTCCTGTCCTGTCCCTGACCTCTCCTTTCTGCTGCCACGCCCCTGCAGGGTTACAGGCTGGAGGTTACGGAAGTGCCAGTGCTTTCAGATGATTCAGCCCCCATTGGGACATTGGCCGGCGACTATTACAGGTGAGCAAGGATTCCAATGCCCCAGATACTATTGGATACACGAAGGGCTTGGAAGGAGACTTCAGCCAGAAGATCCAGGTTGGAGAAGGGCAATCCTTTTACAGCTTGGTCCATCACCCAGCCTCTTCCTCATCCTGGCACCTGTATATAATTTTACAGAGTGCTGCCTACAATCTCATGGGAATTTCTATTGCATATAGTATAGTATATTTTTATGAACCGCCTTATTTCTGAGCCTGTAAGTTGTTTTAAATTAAATTGTTTTTAATGTTCTTACTTGTCCTGGGACGGGATAGGGTGGGTGGTAATACTATTTATCCTCATCATCCCATGTTTTGGGATTTCCTAAGCTGAGGGTGGAAAACCTGTGACTCTTCGGATGATATTGGCACTACAAATCCCATCATCCTTTGACCATTGGTACTGCTGGCTGAGGTTGGTGGGGAGTTGGAAGCTCCATATAAGCCAGGGAGGAGCAACACAAGCCTTCAGCTTGCCTTGGATTACATGAATGGGCTTCAGCTGTTCCCCATCCTGTCTCTAGTTTAGCTATGCATCCTCTGCTGGCTGGGCTGGGGAAGCTGTTTGGAATCCTCCTTGTCCCAGCAGCCCTGCCTCTTCCCCATTTCCTGACCACCGTCTCTCCCCTCCAGGAAGCTGCTCCGTTACTGCAGCAGGACCCATGCGAACGAAGTGGTGAAGTGCTATGAACTCCTCACCATCCACCTGGGTGTTGTGCCAACTGAGCTTGTGATCCAGCAGGCGTGTGACTTGGCCCGGCGACTTTGGGAGCCAAGCCGCATCCCCTTGCTCTAGGGGTTTCATTTGCTTCCTCAGCGCCATGCTAGGGACTTTTCTTGAGACCATCACTTGTGGAAGGGTTTTTGAGAATGGGCTCTCAAACCTGGTGCCTGGTACATCATCAAACCTGCTCCGCTGTTGGAAGTTTGTTTTTGTTGCCATTGGGGAATCTCATCTTCCCATAGTGGAGAAGGAAAAGTGCGAAGAGACCCAACTGCATTTAACCCTCCCCATATTAAAAGTGACAGGTTTCAGCTGAACAATTCTGTAGGCTTGAGTGCCTTCAGAAATGTGTGATCTAACATAAAAGATGGAGAGTTAATCAGCAAATTAAACCCTGCACTTGTACTTCTGAGATGGAAGTTTGGTTTGGAGGGTGTGAGATGCTTTCCCACAGCACAGATAAATGCAAAGTGTCCCTTTCAAGGAAGCAGCCCCTGGAAAGAGGGAGATGAATAAACACAAATAAACCTTTAACTGAAAGTATCTTGCATACAAAAAAAAAAAAAAAAAACCATTGACTGTCTGCAGTGCAGGGTTGTAGGACAGAAATCTCTCTTGCAATTGGTATGCAAGTTTGCTACAAACTCTGGTAGCATTTTTAATTGTATGTTTAGGAAACTGGAGTAAGCTAAACGTTTTATAAATGAACTGTATCAGCTGTCTTAAAATAAATGTTACCCCAGGTCACTATTTCTCTCTTTTGCGATATTCATGTCCCACATACAATACAAATTCAGCGGCAAAAAGGAGAGCTTTTATGTCTGTGAGGAATTATGATTTCTTATAAAATGTTGCAAAGGAGAATAATGGGGTGGGGTATGAAAATACCCAATATAATCTACATTACAAAGCTTTACGAAAGACTGTGTCCTTATTGCAGTGCTTTCTGAATAGTGACTCATACTCATGAATAACTTCAGAGCAAGCTCCCTGTTAGGAAACAAAGAAACAGGAGGTTGGACTAGGTCAGGGAAGGGGAACCATGCTGCCTTGCAGACATTGTTGGGCTCCATCAGACTCTGCCAACTGTCAGAGATGGTGGGCAGTCGTAGCCACAGGTTCCCCTTCACTAGACTGGGGTTGTTGATCAGTTGCCATAAAGCTCTTGTTTGATACAGTATTTATACTGCTGAACTCCCAGCTGAGGTTGCCACCTTTTCCTCTAAGCAAGCCCTGTGTTCTTAACAGCTACACGATGGACAGATTTTCCAAATGGGATGGCAATAAAAGGAAGGGAGGGCTGTGCTTGCTGAATTTCTGCCTGCTGTGCAACTATTTATTCATTTTGTCTACTATTTATATCCTCCTCTTCTTCTGATGATAGCTTTCAGCGGAATAAAGCATTTGTCAGGAAAAGGTTGGCTGCTGTTCTTCCAAGGATGATGGGCATAGAGCAAAGAGGACCTCAGCATCAGACTTTTATTAAAGGTTCTATATATACTAATAGTGGACTCCTAATCCAAGTGCGGGTGTTTGTTTAGCAAAAAAGATACCATCCATGTGCCAAGAGGCTCTGAGAAACTCCAAGCATTGAATGAAATACTAAAAAGTCTTCAGAAACAAAAACTGTTAAAATGGGCAGGCGAGACCAACAACAGCCAAATGAGGACCGAGCATACTGGTGACCGTACAGTGCTGCTATTTTGTTACAAGGTGGGGGTTAAAAGTGTAAAGTGGGAAAGAGGGGAGGTGGAATGGGGTACCATGGATTTGGGGCATGGCTGGCTACTTGGAACCCTGAATCGGGCACAATGTTTTGCTGCAGGTCCCACTTGTGAAATAATCAAAAGTATGCTTCCATTTCATCAAAGATTGGTTTTCTAGGCTGAAAAGAGTGACAAACAGTATAAAGCTGTGCCTTTCTACATTGCCATTTCCTCCTTCAGATGGAAACCAATCTGTTTAAAAATTAAGTCACATGGTCACATTCTCATTAAAATGCTAAGCAGAAATATTCTTCAATCTCTGAGAGATCCCTATTTGCAAAGGGATGGTTTGGTACCAAAAACATTGTATAAGATAGTGGATATATCAGCCTAGTGTAGTATATAATTATACCAATAGATATCAGAGGTTAATTATTTCTTTAAACGCTTGACTGGAAACCCTTCTCATCTCGGCTGCCTGCCTGCGTTGGCATTCAGCAAGGGGAAAATACTCTGCAGTGCTCTGAGCACAGTTCCTTGATTTGGTTTAAAGTCTTGCGTCACTTTTCCAATATCATACTTGAGCTCAAAGTGCACCATAACATTTTAAAAGTAAAATATGTCAATCTATATCCACATTGGCATACCCAAACAATAGATGAAAACTGCAAAAACAGTAAGCAATTCAATACACAATATAGTTCCATATGCTTAAGTTCCTCTGGGGGCTTTTATTTAGAAGGCGGGGTATAAATAAAATAATTCTAAACTTAATGTATCAGAAAAAATATATTTATATTATTTGTAGTACATTTATATCTCACTTTTCCTACAAGGTGGACAAAGTGGTATGCAGGATTCTCCTCTCCATTTTATCCTCAAAACAATCCTGTGAGGGTAGGTCAGGCTGAGAGATTGTGACTTATCCCACGTCACCCAGCAAGCTTCATGGCTGAATAGGGATTTGTCTCCCAGGTCCTAGCCCAAGACATCAATAAGTAAGCCTGACCGATGACAGTGGTTTACCCCTGAGTAAACATGCATAGAATTTCACTGTTGAGTCTGACTGACTGCCTGGAAATAAGAAATCTAACAACACAAAACATTGTGGCCAAGCCAAGGAAGCCCTGGTGTCTTTGTAGGTGGATTTCACGCCTATCTTTTTTTAACCGAGGGTCGTTTTGAGTCGCCTCTTGCAGCCCAGACACAGATTTAACGCCTCGGTGAGCGCCAGGTTAGCTTTCCTCATGCTTCAAGCTGATCATTGACGTTGACAAGTTCTAAGGCTGACTCTTCATCAAGACAAATAGGCAGCTCGCCTGGAGCCGCATTAGCGAGGCTTTGCTTGTCTCGTCCCTGGCTGAGGAGCTGCTTTGCGCGCTCACGTCGCAGCTGGCGCCCTCTAGCACTTACAGTTTAGTACTCCCCACAACTCTTTCCATATGTCTCTTTGGCCAGATAAGGGCCCCTCTTCGTGCATCGGATGAAGGCAGCTGCAACTTGCAGCCCAGGAAAGCACACGTGTCCCCCAATAAACTTAACGCGCGCCTTCTCTCTTCTCCTTCCTGCTTTCCCTGCGGATCTTTGCATTTGGGGCGGTTCACTGCCCTCCCTCTTCCTCTCGGCCCCTCCTTCCTTGCAAGCTCCCCGCCCCACGCCCCTTCTCCCCGGGACAGGACTGGAAGCGCCAGGCGAATGGCAAAGTCCTTCCAGGCGTCATGATGGCCGCGAGGCCCCGTCGGTGGCTGCGCGCTGCTGCTCTCCTGAGGATCCCGGGGGGCTGCAGAGGGTGCCACGTCGGGGCTGCTGCCTCCCTGAAGCGGGAGTACGACGCCGTCGTGATAGGGGCAGGTGGGTGGCTCTGGCAGAAAAAGCAAGGGCCCGGCGTCCAGGCGGGAAACATAAAAGTGGGGGTCACTCCGTCCCCCCCCCCGAACAAGATGCCCAGGGCGGTCTAGCAGGGGAGCCCGTGCTAATGAATGCTTCCCACGAGGAAGAGGAAAGCCAACTTTCCTGCAGGAGAAGAATTGCGAGTAAGTGGGCAATGTTATGTAGTGTAGTTTCACCCTGGGCCAACAGGGGGATACTGTATATAGTTTTCACTCAGGTCTGTAGATAGTTTCACTCAGGTCCGCGGCAGTTATTTTAGGCGGGAACTCTGGGCTGTTGTGGTTACAATGTGACAGCCGGCTGCCTATAAATACAGGCCGGCTGAGCTGTCGCAGTCAGTTGTATTCCAGCTTACCATAATAAAGAGCTACTTGAAGAAATCGCTGTGCCGGCTGCTATGTCAACCCACGACCTAACAGGCAAAGAATGGTCTTAGGCTGGAAAAGAGCAGAAAGTTGGTTTTGAAAGACGATTGGCCAAATATAGGGAGCAAAAGACTTGTTCGAAGCATCTAGCTGTGATGGCTATGCTCAGCCTCCACAGTCGAGGCAGTCTGCTGGATGGGCCACTGACCTGATGCCTCAGGTTCTCTATATCTATCTATCTATCTATCTATCTATCTATCTATCTATCTATATTGCCTTTATATCCCACCTTTTTCTCCAAGGAGCTCAAGGTGGCATACATGGTTCTCCCCATCCACAACAACCCTGTGAGGTAGGATAGGCCAAGAGGCAGTGACCGACCCAAGGCGAGCTTCATAGCCAAGTGGGGATTTCAACCTTGGTGCCTTAGGTCTGGGTCCAGCAGGACATACTAGCAGGGCAGCAGTTGAAGAAGGAGCAAAAAGGGTTTTCTTGTGTGTTTCTTTGTGGCTGATTAGCTGTTTTCCCTGTGCAAAGGTCAGAGGGGGCAGGGTTTCTGTTGAGGCAGGTGATTAGCTGTGGGAGGAGCTTATCAGACCTAGCAGGGCAGCAGTTGAAAAGGAGCAAAAAGGGTTTTCTTGTGTGTTTCTTTGTGGCTGATTAGCGTTTTCCAGGAAGAGTCCCCACGTTCTCATCTCCGTGCAGATATCCCCATCCACATCTTCTGCACCTGTACCTGGAAATGAACAGGCAAAGGCCTGCTGCCAGAAGTCCTTGATGAAATAATCTTCTTTTGAGGTGGCAGGTTTTCTACTGGCAGTAAATTGCTGAAATCCTGATATATCATTGGAGTGAATTGCAAAGGACAGAGCCCCGTGGATTATTTCTTTATCCCAAGTCCTTTGATAAACAGAGAAGTCAGCTCCACCTGGGCTGTCAATATCCACACTGTACCCTTTGGGTTAATATTCCCATGTTCTTGCTCAGATAAATACGGAAACCATCTCAGAAATGTCATAGAATAAGATTCTCCATAGATGATCATCACATTGGCTTTGCTACTCATTACTTTATCATGTATTTTTGCAACCTGTTGAAACAAGTCTTTAAGATCAGCGATAAGAGATAATTTGGATACTCTCTCTACAAAGGCAAAACAAATGCCACTAGAAGTAAACATTGGAATCACAGTTTGAACAAATCTTTCTGCGTTCTGAAGATCCATTGTAAGGAGTCCGACCCATGTCCACCTGAAATGCAGAAGTAAGGGAGAATCCCCTCATACTGCAGGGCTTCCTGTGGGACCATTTGGTAGAAGGAAAGGCCTGGAGTTTTATCCTCCATGACTGGAGCCGGGCTATATATGAGCTAAAAGGGATTGCAGGGGAAAAAGAAAGAATAAGCATGATTTTATGGATATATTAAGTCATTTTTATTCAACAGTTTAAAATGTACACCAGCAGAATAAACAAAAACTACAAACCATGGTTTTAGAGTAAGGACTGTGTTGCTCCATTACTCAATACGATGCAGAAAGTAATAATACTGAAATACATCTGGAGTCATATGTGTTACTGTAGCCAATATAGGGTACTCCCCCAAATAAAACTGAAAATTCAAGGAGAAGACTGTCACTAAGTTGATAAAGTAGAGGAAAAATGGTACCATGTTTCCAAGAAAAGAAGTGTCCTACTGTATTTAAACCCTGGGCACTCTACATTGCTGTAGCTTTATTTTTCAGTCAAAACAGATTTCCCAGCTTCTGTTATAAAATGGACTTGTACTCCTGGCATAAAGGCACACAGACACCATTCTGCCCACATTTTGCATGCCCATGTTGAGCCTTTTCTAAGGCACCACAAATCCATAGTAAATGCACACTGCCTTCATAAAGACATAAATACACCTTTCTGCCTGCATTCCTGCGAACACAATGTGGGCATAACATCAAATTTATGTAGTACAGTCTAGTAGAATTAAATGCCGCAGGTGGGTTAATTTTACCACAGCCTCATGAATTCTCATCAAAGTGTTCTTTGATGGGATTTATGCTCCATAACATTTTACTCCACTTTTGCGAAGAACAATCCAAAAGCTGCCATTTTCAACTCCCACCACACACCATCAGAAAAATCAATCCTCATATTTAAATGTGTGAGGCAATGACGTTTACAACACTGAGACTTTTGTAAAAATTTCCCAAAAGGTTGGTGACTCTTTGGGAAACACCCTGCATCATTAGCCTCTCTGCAAATTAAAAAGTATTTATTTGGTTTTCCCCAAATTGTATCAATAAATTCAAATTGCTTCCCCTGTATAAGAGTCTTGCTGACTTATTTAAGCATGTTCTTAAATACCACACCAGTTCACATATTTTGGCCTCTGGACTATAGAGCGAAATATAGCAAACAATGCAACCATGGGAGGAAACCAACAACTTTAAATCCATGATGCTCAGCACAGAGATGGATACATTATACCTGTGGAATTTTATAGATATCCAAGACTGTTGCAGCATGAAGAGAGGTTAGGGGGTCCAGTCCCCCAATGACTGCTATCAAATGATGATGGATGTCACATTTGTAGTTGGGGACCAATCTGTTTAGGCTGGACATTAGCAGCATTGTAGCATGATAGGTCCCTTTTGCAATGAAATAGCTGTCAAATATGTGGAAGCCCAAGGTGGTATTGGGTAAGATCTGAGGGTTGGCATTGATCTCCTTCACTGCAAATTCCAAGGCCAGGATGTGCTGGTAATTCTTAGTCACCATGCTGAAATGAGAATTGCACTCTATCAAAAAGATATCTCTCATTTTATAAATCACAATTATTGCATTCTCATCAGGGTTTGCATTATGAAATAGTACAGTATTTTAAACCACATTTGAGGATGCAGTCCAGAGTGGTGTATAAAATTGTTGCTTGGTTGTTGTTGTTTTTTAGTAAGTCCATTTGCCCCCTTTTATGTGTTAAAAACATTTTAAGAACTCTGGAACATATAAAGGAAGAAAACAAAATCCATCACACATCACTGAGATTCATTTCCATGATAAGATGGATGATAACAGATTTCAAAATTAATAGATATGAAGCTAGGCTATGCCTATAAAAGTCAGTGAAATGATTTTATCTTTATTATGTTCTATTATCTTGTTATTGGGAACAAGATACATATCCTTAATTGCATTATTTATATTTTTCTTTGTTGAAAATCAGTATGCCCAGCTTACAGTAACCACAGAAAAAACTCAGAAAAACAGAAAGAGATAAAAGAAAGAGCAACTCCTTACACAAGCTCTTCGGGCAATGCCTGTGGGGGTTCTTTAGTGAAGGCTAATGCATTGGAAATGATGAAGCTTTGAGAAGCTAAGCCACCAAGGTTGAGGTCTCCTGACTGGTGATACTTGTGAAGTGGAGGGTGTGGATCATGGACATGACACTTCACCATGTGAGTCTTGCATGTCATTTCAGGAAGCAGTGCCAGCAGCAACATAAGCAAAGTCGCCATCCTGAGTTTGAAGGCAAATCTTCACTTGAAAATATGACATTATTTCCACAGAAAATTCCCTTATTTCAATGTCACCAGTTGCAAAGGCTGATTTAAATGTTTATTCAGTTTTTAAATAGGCCAAAACTCTGAAGTATAAATACCACTAATCTCTAGTGGTAGTTATAAATTTTTGTGTGCATACTTACCAAATAACAACTTTCCAGTTCGAATTCCACAGGGGTTTCAGCGTGCAACAAAATTAATTATAATCATTGCTGTAATGACAGAGGAAAATCATTACAAAGTCAACGTTGGGGTTCCTCTGTGTAACTGCAGAAGGAAACTTGTTTGTTACATCTGAAGATTCCCCCACACCTTCCACCTAGTTGAGTATCAAATGATACTATGGCTTGGATGAGGAAGGCAGCAAGGCTTCAGACGTATAACATCATAGTTTGGATTAATGTACACTTAAACATGTATTAGGAGCACTGTGCTGAAGATTTAAAGGCAACTTACCAACACATACCACAGCTTGTGGAGAGGGAGGCATTTTCTAAATAGGAAATGTGGTGGAAGGCAGAGTGATTCCTTTACTTTTAGAAGAGCAAGGCCTAATTGGTAGCAACCCAGCTGCTGAGTCCTTTCAATCTGTAGCCTCAAATCCCTCCTTTGCCACTTCTTTCTTGTCTTGCTTCTGAATGCCAGAGAAAGGACCCTTTAGCCTTTGGGAAGACAGAGAGGGCACTTATGTAGGGTCCCAAGAAGCATGCCCATGTCTGTAGCTTCACAAGGGTTTTGCTTATTCCCTCTATTACATTTCCTGTCCTCCCACTCAGGGGTGGGTTACAACAAATGAAGCAGTATTTTAAACAACTTAGCATTTAGTAAATTTGGGGGTGGTAGAAACTGGCATATCAAGTGTCGAAAGCCAGGGTAAAGAGATGAGACCAGCAACTGCTGAAAGCTGTATAATGCAGTGTTGTTGTTGTTGTTGTCCATGGGGTCACGAAGAGTCGGACACGACTAAACGACTAAACAACAACAACAATAGGTTATGGAAGTTCCGTGTTTTGACAAGTGTGAGAAGGGAGGAAGACTGCCAG